AGAATGCCTATCTTAGGTCGGCGATGAGATACCTAAAGTCAACCCCGATTCACGTCATACATGCGGAAACAGGTCAACTGCCCACCAAGGATCGCATTGAGTGGCTCACGTTAAGGGAGGTAATACGGAGCAGCTTCCACAACAACCAACTCCATCGTTTTATTGAGGAAACCTACAATCTAGAACAAGGAAATGGTTCCTTTTTAACTAACGTTGCAGCAAAACACATAGACGTAGTGGCCCAAATACACCCACGAGACAGTTCCATACTCAAAATCAACAAAAGAGAATATTTAGACCTGGACTTGAGAAGAAGAATACGCACTAAACTGGTAGAAGAACAAAAAGCAAAAAAAGAATACAGCCAAGCAGTCTGGATCAAGTACTTTGCCGAGGTCAAGGACCGATACAAGGAGTTCAACCAAATCTACACGGATGGGTCGAAAACAGCAGCCGGGACCGGAACGGCAGTATACGACAGTACAGATGGATCGATACTCAAGGACAAAATAAATGAAAACTTCTCCATCACCAATGCGGAATTACTAGCGATCAGCAAAGCCATAGAGCTGATCATAGACAGAAACTACACCAAAGCTATCATCTTCACGGACTCAAAAGGAGCATGTCAAACACTGTTGAACAGAAGCGAAAGCAAGGAAAACTTCCTAGCCGGGAAAATCGTCGGAATGTTGAAAGCGCATAGCAACATAAATATCGTCATCCAATGGATCCCAAGTCACCAAGGTATACCTGGGAACGAAATAGCTGATCAGGAAGCGGTCGGTGTCACCCACGGCAGACAAACAGAGTTTATGGCTCTAGCTCTCGCGGACGCTACCTCTCTAGCTAAGAAGGAAATATGGAACGCCTGGAAGCAGACGTACCAAGAGATCTCGGAAGAAAGGGGAGTGTTCCACCGAACATTCATGGCAACTCCAGGAAACAAGATATGGTGCCAGAAATTGGCAATATCAAACGAAGAGAAAACAGTACTCAATCGCATCAGGTCGGGTCACTCACTGACGAAGGATCGCCTACACCAGTGGGGACTGGAACTCGACGAGCTGTGTGATTACTGTGAGGAAAAGGAGGACATCACACACATTCTATATGTATGCCCAAAGTACAACAATGTACGAGTCGAATTCCCAGCACTGGAGTACTTCAAACCACTAACAACCATACTCGAAGAAAATGCGGAAACAGAACTTAAGCAAATAGTTCAATTCGTTAAGCAGATAAAAATCAGAATATAGAACAAGACCACTGGGAAAGAAAAACCAACTACTAAACGAAACCAGAATCAGCGGCGGCGAGATGGGCCGACGTCGGCCTCAGCCTGTCATCAATGACAACGTCAAATAAAAAAAAAAAAAAAAAAGTACAGTCATTAAGCTATACAAATTGTCAAAAGATTTCATGGCGGTGTGATCTCGTGCTTTAACGCATAGTGATTAAATGTTGTTACGATGTCGTTTACAAACTTTTATTTGTAACCAAGCCGGGTAGAACAATATTCACGTTCGGACGGCGTCGTATGACAATATCACGGACTCTTGGAGCTGCTCCGATTTGGCTACCGATCGACACACTCGTCTAGGAAACGGATCAGACGATAAAAAGAACAGGATCGTTCCTTTGTTCTCGAGTATCGCTAATTCATTTGGGTATGGATACTAGAGTGATGCAAAATTTGAAATTTTCGCTCCACAATACTTAAACGATTCGAAATCGGATCCTGACTAACCTCTCAAAATTTGAACCCATTTGGTGAGAAACTGAGATAGCACAAACCATTTGAAGTTTGTATGGGAATTATTATGGTAAAACCAAGATTTTTGTTCATTTCTATCTAATAATTCATCATATCGGTCTGCTTCAAAAATTTTCAATTATTCTTGTAGGAAATTTTCCCAGCTACAACTTTGCTCATGACCACATTTTGATTAAATGCAAGGATCGAAAGTTATCAATGGTTCAATGCGCTGATGTCTTATGATCATGCTCAATCAACTGCTCAGCAGGCAACATTGGTGTTTCTGGGGCGTTGAATAGTACACACAAATCATGGCTACTATGTCACACTGCAAAATACAGTGTTGCCTACAGAGCAGCTGCTTGATCATGTCATAAGTTTACCAATCTCTTAAATAATTAATAACTTTTTCCTGTCTCGTTTTACTTAGAAACAATCTTCAGCAAAGTTGTAGCTTTCTATAAGAATGTATATCGAACTGTTTCGCAGCTCAAAATGGAAAAAGACTAGAAACAAAAAGTTAAGATTTCCCATAGTAATTTACATGTAAACTTCAAATGGCTTGTGCGAAATCGGTTTCTAACCAAATGTGTTGTAACTTTAAGAGGCTAATCAGTACCCGATTTAAAACAGTGCTTAATGTGGAGCGAAAAAGTCAAATTTTGCATCAGTCTAATGGATACTCAATTTGCTAGATTCTATTATGTTATAGAATATCACCTTGTTCTTTTACAGAATTTTTACATAATTTTGAACTAGACCGGTACGACATGCCAGATTCATGAAATCGGATCAGCCGATTTCAGTTGTTGAAAACGGATTTCATCGAACATAATTCCTAATCTTGTTTGGCAACTCACTAGATAAGAAGCCTTGAATCTGATCGATCCCCCTTGCTCGCTGCGCACATCTTCGTCTTTTTCCAGTCAGGTCGCTACCAAGAACCATTTTCATTGGGTTGTTATCCGACATTGTTACGATGTATCCAGCCCATTGTAGTCGCCCGATTTTCGCAGTCGATCTCATAACTTACAAGCCTGCTGTAATGCTACTTAATGATTAAATTATTTTCTACAGTGATTCAACGATTTCCGAGCTAAATCTAATCTTTTCAAAATTGGTTTAAAATTTAAAGAAGTAAGACCAAATCAAAAACAATCCAGGAAATTCCTAATTGAGGTTACATTTTTCAAAGAAGATTCAAAACTGAGTCTGAACTTTTTTGAAGTTCTTCATAAGTCATAAGTCATGAACATTTTTCTAACTGAGTCTAAACTTTTCTGTTATGTTATTCAATCCTTTTTTTTGCATTTTCTGGAGTCAGGCCACATTAGCTAATTTAATCTCTTTCCTAAATTAATCCAACGATTCCTGCATTGATTAAACTATTTCCGAACTGAATCCAAACTTGTCAGAGCAGGTTTGACATTTTCCTAAGTGAGCCCCAGATTTGTATTAACTGGTTTGCCATTTGGCAAGGACACAGTCTTGTTTAGGTCATTTACCTTTCGTAAAAGTGTAGAAAATTTTCCGAAGTGAACCGACACTTTTTTTGATCTTAAATTTTACAAACGGAGTCCAAACTTTTCTGAAGTGGTTCATAACTAGTGCAAACTTTTCTGTTGAGTTATTGAATTATATTTAATGTTAGTCTGATGTGATTTAAGGCTGAATTAAAATCGATTAAACAACACTCGTTAAGCATCAAATTGTAACATTTCACTATAATCTCAAATGGTCTTGCGTTGTTAATATCCCTGCACTTTTTAAAACATTTGTTTGATGAGAAAATTTCATCCTAGGCTAATATTGGACCCATTTCTCCTATATATTGTAATGAAAGACAAAAAATCGTTTCCTAACTTCAGGGTAGCTGCCATAAATTTGCTATAAAAAATGTTTGTTGGAATTATGAAACCATCAGATGGTATAATCACAGACAAACAGACATAACACTCGCAAGTTGTTCATCGAACAAGCATTTAATGGACAATTTAAAAGTATACTAGTTGGTAGTACCACCACCTGTGGTGCGCATAGTCAATTCCCTTGCGTTTGACGTTTACACACTTCTGCCATCTGTTCAGCGTAGTGCCCACCACAGTGTACTCAACATATGGCGGTAATGTTTTAGCGACAATATTTTACAGTGAGAAATATTGAATGTGTTATGTCTGTTTGTTTGTGGTATAATGGTGTTTGAACTTGTAAGTTACAAGAAGAGGTGGTAAATTATGTGTTTGGCATTGGACCTAGTTGGAGATGCTTAACGTAAAATATCTGACTTAAAGTGGTCATTTTATACGATAGATGAGGAGATGAAAGTATAGAGTTGATAGTTCCGTTAGAGTACGGCAGTGTCAAAATTGTGTATAGAGAGTAGAAAGCGAGCAGAAGTAAATTTTGAGGAAGGCACGAATCCGGTTGATCATTCTCTTTTGCCAGTGGTGGCGGGGGGAGATACCCCTCACCATCCCTCTCCAACAATGGAGTTTGGTAAAGGAGATGATCAACCCTATTCGTGCCTTCCTCAAAATTGACCTTTACTCGCTTTCTACTCTCTATTTACAATTTTCACACTGCCGTACTGTAACGGAACTATCAACTCTATACTTTCATCTCCTCATCTATCGTATAAAATGACCACTTTAAGGCAGATATTTAACGTTAAGCATCTCCAACGACGAAAATCGTTAACTTCGTGCATGAAGTCATACAAACATGATTTGTTAAATTATATAAAACCTGTCAATTCATCATTCAGAGAGTCACAATTCACGATTTTGTGATCGATGAATATTCACTCTTCATAAATTTGCAACTCTTTGAAAAAGAAATTGATGTGTCAAACATTTACATACTTTTCAAGCTCTTCTTGTAACTTTCATGTGCAAAATACCATCTTAACATCTAATGATCTCACAAATCATAAATTAAAAATTATAGCAAATGAACAGTAGTAACCATACCTGAATTATACCACTTATACCAATTATACATTCCACTGCTATCAAATAACAAGAATTCTTTCAACCCGTGGCTTTGATCCCGCAATACCACAAAGGCTGCAAATGGTTTTGCTGGGATCCAACCGAAAGTCACGCCGTCGAGAAAATCGACGCACCTGTAACAAGTTTTGGCTGCATACTACAAAGGTGATTCCCCCGCGGTGCTCCGGAACCACAATCCTAATTTTCTTCTTCGTTGTGCCACCTTTCTGCTTCGATCTTCGCTCCCACAGATATCCCGTTCGATGAAACAAACACACCTAGCTATAATGAAATTACGAGAAAAAATACATTTTAAGATTTAAACTTTAGAAAAAGTTTTACAAAATCATAAACCTCGCATTATTTATAAATTAATTTTAACTATAATTAAATTTTAAAAACAAAATTATTATATATTAAATTAATTAAACAAAACAAACAATTGTAAACTAACTCGCAAAAACACAAACATTAAAAAAAAAATCAAACACATAAATACACACACACACAATGGCTTCTCGAAAGAACGCAAAATTCTCCACCAAAATCCAGTTCTATCTGAAACACAGGGAATCGCGGATACTGAAGCTATGCAACGACACAATCAGCCCGGTACCGAACGATTCGCTCACACGAGCCATCTTCAAGCTGCTGTCGAAGCCGGTGGACAACAGGCGGATCATTCAGCTTCTTGCCGACAAGGTATGACCGGGATTCACTGGGACTTGGGAGGGTTTTGCCTTAAGACTACATTACGTTCCGTTCACAGAAACGCTCCTCCACCAAATCGACTGCCTCGCACAGCACCGTGAAGACGCCCCAGATGACGGCGACGACAGCGACACCAACGACAGGATCCACAGTCACAGCAGCACTCACAGCGGCCATCGCAGCAACGACGGCTACCTCGTCCGCTGCCACCACACCTGCCACTGCCCTGTCGCTGTCGCTGCCCGACTATCAGAAAGATGTGGAACGGTTTCGTGGACGCATCATCTGCCAGGACAACACGTGCATCATCGATCCGGCGGCCTCTCCTAAGAACGACAACAATTCGAATCCTCGCACTCATTCCTTTCGAATTGTCTCGTTCAGCAAGGAGACCTCCGGACCCAGCAAATCAGACAGTTCCTCGTCGCCACTTGGCGGTAGCGACGGTGGGCGAGATTCGGTCGGCGAAGAGCAGGCCCAGAATCTCAGCTCATCGACGCCGTCTGCCGCATCGACACAAGTTAGCCTCAAGGCAATTCTGATGTGCTTCAGCTGCAAACTCAGCTTCGGCACGTGCCGATCGTTCATCGCCCACGCCAAAATGGAACACAGTCTCACACTGAACGACTACGAGCGGATGCTGCTGGAGAAGAACTACAGCAGCGCCATCATCCAGACCAACACGGAGAGGCAGTTTTACTTCTTGGTTCCTTTCGAAGAGAAATCTTCAGCCAATAGCAACAACAACAACAACAACAGCATTAACAGTAGCACTAGCATTAAGTCGACGTTGATGGATAGTGAGGAGAGACTGAGAAGTGGGAGCGCTATCAGCAGCAACGGCGGAAGTCAACAATCGTCACCACAGCAACAGCAACAACAGCAGTCACAACAACAACAAGCGGTGCAATTGCAACAGCAGCAGCAGCAACAACAACAACAACAGCCGCCGCCGCCGCAGCACACGCCGATACAAACGCCGGACAAAAGCCCCGGTTCCATCAGTTTCGAAGGTGGCTTCCCGAAACTCACCCCCAGCAATATGTTCTACGACACGGACACCAAGCTGCAGGCGAGTTGGAAGCTAGCCGCCGAAAAGTACAGCAACGCCATGAACGAAAGCGTAGCGGTGGCAGCAGCCGCCGCAGCCGCGGCCGCGGTACAAGAAGAAAAGAACGCAGCCAGCGGGAAACTGTTGACGGATTTCCTAGCCCAGCAAAAGATGCTGTCGGCTGCGGAGAATCTGTACAGCAAGCAGAACAAGTTCCTGGAGTTGATGAGTACGAATCCACTGGCTGCGGCGGCAGCCAAAGCCGCAGCCACCGGACCGAGCGTTGATGGAACTAGCGATTTTCACCTGGCCAAAAAGTACAATGCAATGGATCTTTACAAACAGTTGATGGCTGCAAACAACTTCCGACCGGATGGGCTGGAAGCGCTCAAAGAAGAACTGAAACCGGAACATCAGATAAGCGTTAAGAAACTGGAGACTGATCCGGGGGCTGCGTTCCGCAGTAATTCCTTTGCGCCAAATATTTCCACGAGGAATTCCTGCAAAACGCTCAAATGTCCCCAGTGTAACTGGCACTACAAGTATCAGGAAACGCTGGAGATTCACATGCGGGAAAAACACCCGGACGGGGAAACAGCCTGCAGTTACTGCCTGGCCGGTCAGCAGCATCCCCGTCTGGCTAGGGGTGAATCCTACACCTGCGGCTACAAACCGTACCGTTGCGACATTTGTAACTATTCCACCACCACGAAGGGTAACCTGTCTATTCACATGCAAAGCGACAAGCATCTGAATAACATGCAAGATCTGAACGGTATGATGAACAAAGGTAATCAGAACTTCCTAAATCTTGCAACCCTTCAGACGAACGAGAAGGTTAACACGTCTCGCAACCAATACATGCCAGCCACCTCGCCGTTGTCCCTGTCCACAAAGCTCACCCCGCAGCAGGTCGTCAAAGAAACGCAGCACAGCAACTACGAACCCAACCGACCCAAGTCCTTCTTCAAGTGTGACATCTGCAACTACGATACCAATATAGCTAGGAATCTCAGAATTCACATGACTAGCGAGAAACATATCAGCAATCTGAATTCTCTGCAGTCTAGCTACAGTCAGCTGAAGAACCTCCAGACGATATCATCGCCGGATGGAATCGACTACCTGAGCGCCCTGAACCTGAATGCCCTCAAGGAGGACAACCCTTTGAATCGCGTTGAAGACTACACCAACAACTCCCTCAAATCGTTGTCCATCCCGTCGTCCCCGTTTGCTCCCATCGATCCCACCCCCGTCAGCACCGCCAACAGTACCCCCACTCCGGAATGCCTCTTCCTCAACAACCCCTCGCCCTTCTCCGGTGGCAGTGAGACCGAACGCAGCGCCATGGACTTCCAACAACAGCTAGACGAAGACAAGAACCCGCTCCACTTCGAACCTCCGATCAGAATCACACTGGACCCATCGACTTACTACACCTGTCTGATCTGCTCGGACTTCGACACCAACAATCTGGAAGAGCTGAAGAAGCACGTGATCAAGGATCGCCTAACCTCAAACATCGCAATGGATAGTATAGTGATCGCAGCGGTCAGCTGCGAATGTCTCCTGTGCGGCTTCCGTTCGCCGACGGCGGACAAACACGATCTCGAACGCCACCTCAAAACGGAAGCCCACCTGAAGCGACTTGATCTGATGATTCATCTGCTCGAGGGACGGGACAAGGCCATCGGTAAGCTGAAACAATTCTGCGGACCGGAGCTGTTCAAGAAACTCTCGCTAATCTTCCCACTGCCGGAGGAATCGAAATTTCCGTACGAAGAAATGCCAAGCATTGGTGAAATTTCGCGTTCTCCCCTGTCGCTACTGCTGGAACCGAAGACGGAACTGATCGAGCGGGAGTTCAACGGCGACTGCGAGGGAAGCCAACCACATCCGGACAACGTGCAGATCAAGTGCAACTGCTGCAACTATTATACGACCTCGCTGGAGAAGATCGGCATCCACAGCCTGTCGGAGAAGCACATTTTCCGGCGGATCTGTTTCGACTACCTGCTGCTCATCTCCAGCGAGAAGAACGCTTCCGGCGGTGGCGGTTCGCTCAGTCCGTTGAACCTGCAGCAGAGCATGAAAGGTGAAGGTAGGCCATTGGATTACGGGATCGTTGTGAGGAATTCTAATCTGGTGATTTGTTTTTCTTGTTTTCTTTTTGCAGATGGTCGTCCGGGAAGTGCTGTGGCCATGTTGCTCCGTGGCGGGCAGCTGATGCTGACCTGCGTGCCGTGCGGTTACAAGACCGATCACATCTACTACATGATTCACCATCTGAAGAAGTCGTGCAAGGTGGAGCAGAACATCAACCTGCTCGGGCTGCGCAACATCTTCAAGTTGACCCCGAAGGGTGAGTAGTACCGGAAGTTGCATAGTGATGGGGATTTTTTTGTAATCGCTGCTGAAAATGTGATGCTCAAAATTCGGAAGGGTGCCAGGTTTCTTTACTTAAGTCAAACTGGTTGGAAGGTACCATTCGTCTCCATGGGGTGACATTTTCCACTAACAAGTGGCGTTAAAACTAGGTGGTTGTTACTAGTCACGCGAAAATGGGACTGTTAATTCTATGCACCAAAACGTCAAATTTTATAAAATTAGAACGTCAAAATCTAAGGCATGTTGGATTCGGGGGGCTGGACAGCTGTAATTTTCGGTGCAAACGATTTAAATATTTGTATTATTTGACAAATCAAATCTCAGCTAACCATGACTTTTATTAGTAATCATCCCCTAGGTAAAAGTGTCAAGATCACAGGGTATAAAAATGAAACTACAATGTGTAAATATATTTGAAAATTTGTATGATTTTGTTAATCAAAATTAATTTCAAAGGTCTGAGGCTTCGACAACTATCGAAATCTTGAACTGTAATTAATGATTAGGAATGAACAGGGAATCATTCCTTTATCAGTTTGTGCTGACACACAGCAAAAAATTCTGAATTATAATTGTGATGTAAACATTCATTCACGTAAACTTGTATTCCATTTCACACAAACGAGCAACTTCTAAGCAATGTTGTTTTCAAATATGGGCATAAACATTTCATGATGTTTCTGAACTTTACACGATTTATAATGTAAGCTTAGATGAGATGTGACGCTCCGTTTATGTGCATCATATTGAACAGAAATTTACACTACTTTTTCGAACTGTGTAGTTTACGAGGGTAAACTTTTATTCGCGGGAAATCGGTCATCGTTTACTAAAGCAGTTGCGGTCTAATCTCAAATCAATCCGGATAAATTATGTTTTACCAGCAATAAAAACATCACTAGAAAACTCCCACCTTATTGCTGACAGCATGCTTCAAACTGCCAGCAATAGCTCTGGCCTCTGGTCCGTGCGCATTTTACCCACGATTGCGAGCGTGCACCACCCAAACCAGCTAGCTATGCTCTCGCTACCACCACCCATCGCATTTATTAGGCCCACAGTTCAAATCATGTATTCATGCTTTCAATTGAATGCTTCTCGTTCTGCTTCGTCTTCCTCTTCTTCTTCTTCTTCTTTCTCCGCACCTTTATCTTCGGCCCTACTTCCAGCCGTCATTCTCATCAACCAGCATTAGCACCCATCGCTCCTTCTCTATCTATCGCCCGTCCATCCTCCTATGCCCATCATCCATGCACTCATATCCATTCATACAAAAAAAAATATCGCGCATTCATACCATATTTTCGGAAAGCAAGAAAACGCAAAGCAGAAGAAGCGCTCTCCCAATATCCCATCTCGAGACGGCTAATACATAGGTGTAACAGTCGGAAGAAGTGTTAGTTTGTTTACTTAAATGAACCATGCCCATTTTTTTATGGCATGTTTGCTATACGAAATGCGCCTCGTGTTTATTGGCGAATTTCACATCAAAGATTGATTAATTGAGTAGGAAATCAGTTTGGCACGGCATTTGTGACCAGCATACACCTTCCGGTAGTATGAAACAGGTCAAAAACTGTTCAAATCCGCAGATAAAATTTTTGTTTTGAATTTCTGTATAGCAAAATAGTGAACTTTTCGTGAACATTAACGGCAAAGAACTCACCAACACTGGGAGACTGTGAGTTCCTGCCCACCTGTTCATTTTCCATCGTGATCCCATCTCCCATCTTCCCTGTTGTGGCAACGGAGCGAACAGAGACAGACAAGCAGACCGCGCACATACCAGTCCTTTTGTTTACTTTTGTAGCTAAACTCAAACGGACTTGTTGGATTGCTTCGATTTGTACCTACCTCGCATTTTATTAAGTTTAGTTTAACTTCCAACTCAGTTACCAGCAGCTACGCGTCTTATAAAGGTGTTTTATGGTTCGAAACAGGAATTTCTAATCTGCGCGGCTGTCAACCGATTAATAAACTTTGCAAGGATTATTTCATGACCAGACTGGATTATGATGCGCTAAGTAAGTTTTTGAAAGCCAACAAAGTTCTGCCTGTAGTTTGTGAAGTTTTTAGGGAAAGTCAGCAATCGAAGATGAGCACCCGCATTCAATCTAAAATGCGTTCATTAATCAGCCACATCCGATTCGATATATTACATTATGATGAATGCAGATACATATCATACGAAAAAAAAAAGAAAATGGAGAACGTTCAGTTAACACCCTGCCCGAGTGTGACGGATGGATGAGTCATTGACGAGAAATTGAATTGGAAACCTTAATCGAATTTCGACTTCGATATGAAAATAATAAAATAAAAAAAAAGTGTGTGATTAATTTTCGAACCGGTTTCCTGTCGGTTAACCGTAACTCGATTGCATGGCTCAGCGTGCGGGCGAGAGCAAAAGCGCGAGTGAAAATCACGTGTGGAGCCTGGCCGCCGTCGTCGGTGGCGCCAAGTTCAAAAGTGGGGAGTTTGCGCCGTTCTTTTGTTTTTGTTTGGGTTCGCTTTTGTTTTAGCGATTCGTCCGCGATTGCGTCGTACTGCCGCCGCCGACGCCACAGCCGCCTTCTCGGGTTGGCTATGATGAGCTTGGGTGCGAAAAGCGCAGATGGTGTGAAGTGTGGTGACACTTTTTTTTTGGGGGGGGGGGAATGCATAATGCATGGTTTTACAACTGCGTAGGGATGGTGATGGAAATTTGCGCCCGAAAAGAGGGAACAAATATTAATTATTTGAACCAGTTCAGACAGCTTAAACATATACAACGAAAGGAAGAACAGAAAAATGCGATTGGGTTCTTGAATAATTTATAAACATTTTAAAATTGGTGTTTTTTTTTAGGTATTCAATGAATTTTGTCAAAATCATAAAAAGTATGGGACACACTCGGTAACATATTAAAAGTACGCTATGAATATCAACATATTTTGATTAATACATATACAGGGTGTCGACTCGAAGTCGAAAAATAATTTCACTGACTTTCTAGTCGGTTTTCAGAAAAATTCCAGTCCACGAAATTCTGTTATTTTAACCTAAGAATCTACAAAGTGATGTGCTTTATTATACCGTAGTGCAAATTATGGTTAGTTTAATATGAGCAGCAGTGTAAGCTTTCGAAAATATTAAAAATAGCATACTCATGGCATGCACAACAGAACTTGGTACTAATACAATTTTTACAGAACATATGACCGACTACCTACGAAGGATGTGAATAGGCCTAGGGTTATAAATACGTATTATAATATAATAATGAATAACTATTGCTCACAACTAGGCTCACTATTCATTACTAAGTAATAGTAGTTGGTTGGTTGGTCGCCTTTATTAAGGAGATTTTCAGCCAGACGCTGGTTCATCTCCGGGAAGTAATAATAGGAAACTTTAATCTATGTCACCAAGCTCTCAATTTGTGCTCATAATTACACAGCCAAATAAAAATCAACCCGTAGACGATCCTTCCTCTTTACATATAAATTATTGTAAAATAACAGCAGTGATTATTCTTGCCTTGACAACCGCACCTGATTTGGGCAAGGGAACGAACGACTGTCTCGCGTTGCTTTCCACTGAAATTTAGTTGGCTTTTGCTAATAAAGAGCAAATGGCTTCTGTCTTCTTGGATATTAAGGGGGCTTTTGATTCAGTATCGGTTGAAGTCCTTTCAGACAAACTCCACGCTTGTGGCCTTTCTCCATTAATTAATAACTTTTTGTACAATTTGCTGTCAGAGAAACATATGAGCTTTTCTCATGGAAACTCTACAGCTTCACGATTTAACTACATGGGTCTCCCCCAGGGCTCATGTTTAAGCCCCCTTCTGTATAATTTCTACGTCAGAGAAATTGACAATTGTCTAAGGGACAACTGCACGTTGAGACAACTTGCAGATGACGGAGTAGTGTCTATGACAGGACCCAGAGAGGCCGACCTGCAAGGACCCTTACAGGATACCTTAGACAATTTGTCTACTTGGGCTATCCAGCTAGGTATCGAATTCTCCACGGAGAAAACTGAGTTGGTCGTTTTTTCTAGGAAGCATAGCCCAGCACAACCAAAGCTTCAACTTTTGGGTAAACCGATCACTCATTCTATGTCTTTCAAATATCTCGGGGTCTGGTTCGATTCAAAATGCACCTGGAGATCCCACATTGAGTATCTGAAGCGGAAATACCAACAAAGGATCAATTTTCTCCGAACAATTACCGGAACGTGGTGGGGAGCCCATCCGCAAGATCTTCTAACGTTGTACCGGACAACGATTTTATCGGTTTTAGAGTACGGTAGTTTTTGCTTCCAGTCGGCGGCTAAAACGCACATCATCAAACTGGAACGGATCCAGTATCGCTGTCTTCGTATCGCGTTAGGATGCATGCACTCGACTCATACGATGAGTCTCGAAGTGTTAGCGGGCATGTTGCCACTCTCTGATCGGTTTTCGGAATTATCCCTCAGGCTCCTCACCCGTTGTGAAATTATGAACCCACTGGTGATTGCAAACTTTGAGAAGCTTCTTGAGCTAAACCCTCAAACTCGTTTTATGTCATTGTACTACGTGTACATAACACAGGATGTCAGCCCTTCGCAGCATAATCCCTATCGTGTTTGCTTCTCCGACTTCGACAGTTCTGTTCATTTTGATTTATCAATGACGCAAGAGATTCGCGGAATCCCAGAGCATCATCGTTCCATGATTGTTCCGTCAATTTACGCTGCAAAGTTTGGCCAAGTTGATTCCGCAAGATCGTTCTTCACAGATGGATCACTAATAGAGTCGTCCGCTGGTTTTGGTATTTTTAACGAATTTCATAGCGCCTCTCGAATGCTTCAAGCTCCTTGTTCCGTATATGTTGCTGAGCTGGCGGCAATACATTGTACGCTAGAAACGATCGCCTCACTTGCACCAGATCATTATTTTATTTTTACGGATAGTCTCAGTTCTGTCGAGGCTATTCGCTCCATGAG